TGAAGCAGCTGTGTTTGCATGGCCGTGTTTCGGTTTGAAAGGTGGGATATGGCGTGAAATTACTGGGTACAGACGGAATAACACCTGAGTCCTCAGGAATGGCAACGCATGGGGAGTATCATGGGCAAAACAGTATACTCTGTTATGTCCATGGTACTGCTCATGTTTATAGGCGACGGTTATCACTTTCCATCAGGTGGACCGTCAGCTTGTTTGCCATACTAAGTTGTACAAAAAATTTATATATACTATCCACTAATGTACTTTACTGACTAGAGAGTTGCTACAGGGCAGGTATGGCCAACCGGTCGATCGAGGGGGATTGTTAATAATAGGAATTAGCTAGTCTATTACTAGCAATATACTCTATCAGGTCGACCTACTCGCGTTTCCCTCTGGAAACCATCGTGATTCGATTCATTAGTGAATTTGTCATGATGGGCTAACTGACCTGTTTCATCTTCACCTATCATCCCTCAGTGGTGTCTTGCCAGTATATACTGATAGCGCAGGCAGGGCAACTCTTCCATTATCATCACTTTATATCACAAAAGTGTTGATCACTCTTCCTTGTTACATTTCAAGAGGCTCAAGCTGAACATTCCTACTATCAGATCTTCCTTTGCCCGCTGTTTTGGTGCATTTGCATTTCCGTCAATGTAATATAAAATTAACAAAGTGTGTCCACTAATTATAAAACATAAATTAAATAATAATATTTTATCGCTATGTTACGGGGCAACCGAGGAACTATGGTCTGGAGAGTCTGGATAACATACAGTACACTTCTTTCACATGGATTACACAACACACATTCACACATACTCACGGACATTCCCACATTCATTTACTCAACTTCGTTTCTCTTAAGGGCATATATTATTAGTGTTTTATAATTGCTTGTGTATTTATATTGTTGATTTTATTACTCGTTTCACTATTTCAATTTTATATTCCTTTTTATATTAATACCCGCCCACTATGTACTTTTTATTACAACACATTTGTGATTTGTTAACCTTTGTCGGGTGCCCACGATACAGGTTCGCCTAGTGTGGCGTCCATTGTATCTTGTGTTTGTAATTTTGTGTTTTTTGTCAAATAATAATAAAAAAAACATTAAAAAAAAACAGACGTGTTTTTATATAAACAATAAATGTTTAATACCCTGAAGTCACTTCCAGCAGCAGTATTTCCGAACCGATACGACATCATAACCTTCAAGAAAAGAGTATATTCCTTTTTAAAAGGCCGGCAGCACACTTGCAATGCCGCTGGTGTTGTGGGTGATCATGGGCGGCGGTAGTCACTTACCATCAGGTGAGCCGCATGCTCGTTTGCCCCTGCGTTGTAAAAAAAAAAGTCTGTGCTATAAGCAGGCATGTGAATGAAAAGATTACTGCAAAGACGAAGACAACGGTAATGTTAGTTGGGTAAAATAATATAACGTTCAAGCATTTATGACTTAATTTCTATCCGGGCTTACCTTCTTATCATTACTCGGAAATTTGTATGTCCGGTAAAATGATAAATCCTTATCAGCATCATTAGATAGTAATATTAATAATAATTTATCTCTATATCTATATGTAGGGTTCTTATAACGAGAATGGAACGGAAACCCCGTCCGTGTGAGGGGAATGTATTGTTAGTCATGGGAATTAGCATCCCATTGTTAGCAATACACCCACAAAACACCTATCTAGGTGGATCTCCATGCGGTTTATGAGATATTATGAAATAATTCATTACCATGGACCAACTGACCTGTAAGCAAGTTTATCTTCGAAACGGATTGACTAGCAAGTTTGCTCTAATTTAGGACAGAGAATAATTTTTAACTTGTTAAAAAAAATAGAAAAAAATACGTAATACATAAGTGATTTATTAGGACAAAATAAAGTTTGCGTTTCAGTTAGTGTTTTATTTATTTATTTATTCATAGGAAACCAGGGCTACACTAGAGCAAAAATATACAGTTTAGAATCATAAAATAAGCCACTAATAGGTTTTCACAAGTAGCAACAATATAGATACAAGGCGCTGTACACAAAGCAACAAAATTAGGAGTTAACAAAAAAAAAAGTATGTATACAAACAAACAACAGGAACGAAAACAAAAAATAAAAAATAAAATAACGATGAATAAAATACAAAGTAGAAATTAATTTTTACTTAAATTAAAAATTATATTAATTATTTATAAATAATTATTATATCAATAGGTAATTAATTATTATTTAAATACAAATATTTGATTAAAATATGGCCAATAGTTATTCAAACTATGAATATTTTTATTGCCTACTCACTTGGCCTCTCACTGATATTATATTTTTCGAAAGTACATCTATATTAAGAGTTTTAGAAACAGTATTAAATTTGCTGCTAGCTCGCCAAAGGAACGAATTTTGTCTATAATTCGATGACACTAGTGGGACAAATAGAATTATGCCTTCTAGACTTAATTGGTACATTTAGTTTTAATTTTTGTAGTATTTCAGGGCAATCAATCTCAGCGGTAGCTATCCTCATCAGATTTACCAGAGGGAGACTTTGTACAAAAGTCGATTGCTTGGGTACCTCTGTCCCATTCGTATTTCAACCGTGAAGCAGTTGTGTTTGCATGGCTGTGTTTCGGTTTGAAGGGTTGAATTTACTGGGTACAGAGGAATAACATGAGTCCTCAGGAATGGCAACGCATGGGGGGTTCATGGGCGAAACAGTATACTCTGTTATGTCCATGGTACTGCTCATGTCTATAGGCGACGGTTACCACTTTCCATCAGGTGGGCCGTCAGCTTGTTTGCCATTCTATGTTCCATAAAAAAAAAAAAAAAAAAAATATACAATCTCAGCGATATTTCTGCGCTTTTCGAGTGAGAGAAAGTGGTGTTTTTTTACACAATTCAAGATAGTCAGAAGAATCATATCTATCATGTAGTCTATAAGCAAAGAAACGAATAAATTTTTTCTGGATATTTTCAAGGCGAGATATATAAGTTTTATATCTCGGATTCCAAATTTGTGAGGTGTATTCCACTTTACTTCTAACTAATGAACAATATAGAATTTTTAAGGTTTTGGCTTGCTGAAAATAAGTTGAACTGCGCATTAGGAATCCGAGTGCCTGTGAAGCTTTAGTAACAATATCGTCGATATGCCCGTCAAAAATTCGCATCATAAGTAACACCTAAACCTTTTATAGCTGTTTTTTTTTCTGAAGTTCATGACTTTTAAGATTGTATTTAGTATCAACTAATTTGGATTTATGTGTAAATGTGACCATAAAATATTTAGTAGGGTTGAGGTCTAGATTATTAACAATACAATTAGATTGAAGGCTTAGTGAGGATACGGTCCTAAATACTTTCATATCATCAGCAAAACACAGAAGCTGGGAGTTATGAAAACAATTGACGATATCATTTATAAAAATAGCAAATAATAGCGGCCCAAGCAGGGAACCCTGCGGTACTCCACTCGGTACATATGTATATCCAACTGGACATATAATTATTGACTACGACAATCTGCGATCGGTTCCCTATATATGAAGTCAGCCATCTAAGGAGGTCACCTCTAATACCAATCAACTGAAGTTTATATATGAGTAAACTATGATCAATTCGATCAAAGCATTTGCTGTAATCCGTGTATATGACGTCAACCTGATGCCCACTATCCATAGCATCTGTAAGATATTCATTTAACAGTACTAAATTTGATACAGTGGATCGTCCCCTTAAGAAGCCATGCTGAAAATCATTCAAGGACACTTTAATAGCAGAGTATAGCTGTTCATATACTAATTTCTCAAATGTTTTAGAGATATGATATAGTTTGGAAATAAGTCTATAATTCTCAATTTCAGTTCTGGAGCCTTTTTTATGCACAGGTGTGATAAATGCGGATTTTCATATAGTCGGTACTTACGCCTAACATGATGACAATGTAATATAAAAAAAGTTTTTCTTTAAATCTAATTTTCTTTTTAAGAACTGAAACCGAGAATGTCTGGGTAGGCGATGCTCTTGGCCGATGGTGGGATTCCTAGGCAACTGCCTACACTACCTAATAGGTAATTCCTTCCTGTTTTCTTTTTAATTTTTCTTAAATAGTTTATTAAATTTATTAAATTTCTATTTTCATTACAGTTAAGAATTTGATTTTTTTTTATACAACATATAATGACATGCAAGCTGACGGCCCACCTGATGGAAAGTGGTAACCGTCGCCTATAGACATGAGCAGTAAAACTGACATAATAGAGTATACTGTTTCGCCCATGATTCTCCCTATGTGCTGCCATTCCTGAGGACTCAGGTGTTATGCCTCTGTACTCTGTATATTCACTACCATATTCCACCCTTCAAACCGAAACACAGCCATGCAAACACAACTGCTTCACGGTAGAAACACGAATGGGACAGAGGTACTCAAGCAATCGACTTTTGTACAAAGAAAAATATAATATGTCTGGTAAAATATATATTTTTTAATTTATATTCATCATCATCATCATCTTTCTACTGTTATCCCAATTATTATTTGGGGTCGGCGCAATATGGTTTTGTTCATATTACGAAAAGATTTGGCTTATGACTTGTCTTACGCCCGGCCGCTTGCCTGACGTCAACCCTTTTTGGGAATGCCTTTATTGATTTCCGCCACCTACGGTATGGGGGAAAGGATTGAGGAAAACAGGAAGGGAACGTTGGAAATGCGTAAAGGAAATTGGTAAAAGAGAGGAACAAGGGACTTATTTTGGAAAGGAAAGGGGGGGACACTGCAGTTGCGGAAAGGACTGGGACACTGCAGCGTTGTTTTTAATTTATATTAATAAAATAAATTATATACATTCCATTCTAATCTGAACATAATAAAAAGATATGCAATATTTTAGTATCAAAGTGATTAGCTAGATATTATATTGAAAAAAAAAAACGATAAAGTTATCATTTTTTTTTCAACAGTTTGACATCATTTTAACCACACGTATTTATTGTTTTTATATTTATTTTAACAAAATATTTCTTGTGACACGATATTTAATAAAAAAAAAAAAATAGTTTATTTTCATATCATTTATATGATAAAAAAAAAATAGTTTATTTTCATATCATATAAGCTACAGTATATATTTATGTGATCATTACTCTGTTGTGAAATTATATTTACAAAAGAGATGTGTTATTAAATCTCTCTCCATATTTTACAGTGTATTTTGATAATCCATTTCAATCTTTCCAACGTAAGTATTATTTATTCTAAAAAGTTATTTCGGATTTAAATAGATCTGTTATGTTTATTTTTTAGAATAAATTTTATGTATATTTTTATTTTCTAATTGGCTTTACACTCGCTACTTCTTACGCTTGGTTTTCAGAAGCAGAAAAATCAAGGAAATAAATATACTACTATATGAAATATATGTTAGATTTTAAGTTATATCTATAAGAATACGATTGTGAAAATCGCATTCAATTTAGTATAGTAGTATTTGCGTCATGGTTGAATAAACAAACAAACTTAGAGAGAAAACAATTTCTTAAAATTATTGTTTTTTGTAAATTTGAAAAATTATTTTATTATCTGCAAGAATATACTTATAGATTGGTCCTAATAGAGATTTTATCAAAATTGGTGTAGTAATTTTTAAATCAAAATAACTACGTTTGTCACAATTGAAGTCGGTTTTTTATGGAACCCCCTTTCTTCAAAAGTGGAGTAAAGAGGTGTCTTCAGGGTCGGCAACGCGCGCGCAATATCTCTGGTATTGCAGGTGTTCATAGGCTACGGTAACCACTAACCATCAGATGGGCCGTATACTTGTTTGCCACCTCAGTGGTATAAAAAAACACAGATTGTTGTTGGATGAAAATAAAATGGTAACCGATCTGTGCTACCGGTTTAGTTTCCGGTATATTGTACCTATTGGCGGGGCGTCAATGAAGGATTATGATAGGTTAGGATGAAGTTAGGTCATTTGGCCTATTTTGACGAATTTGCAAGGATTTAACTATGATGATTTTTAGAGGCGACAATGTGGAGGTCGACCTGATAGTGTATAACGATGATATTATGGATGTTAATGTAATGGTAACTCCGCCCGCGTTACCGGGAATACGCCGGCCCCTGTTCCTTCCCTCCCTACCGCGAAATCTTCGTTAAGAGCCTCGCAGATACACCCGCACACCGCATACACCGTCTCCGTCGGCGGGGAAGAAGATCCCACGCGACCCACGGTCCGCGCGCGATTAAGTTCGTCACGACGTACCGGCCCTTCGCCGTCCCTAGATGGGGGTCGAACTCTCGAGTACTCGGAGTGCCGTCTGTCCTCGCCTCCGCATACGCGTTCGGTGAAGCTGTAAAGGCTATCCACGGCTAACAGCAAACACAATCTGAAAGAAAGGCCGGCCTCTGCCGGCGTATACCAGTGAGGGATGATAGGTGAGAATGAAAAGCCAAGTTAGTTAGCCCATCTTGATGAATACACTTGGAATTCAGCACTATGCTTTCCAGAGGGGACCACGTGGACGTCGACCTGACAGAGTATATTGCTGGCAATGGAACTGGTAGTCTGCATTACTAATAATCCTTTCCCTTCGGATCTGATAGTGTGTAAGCAATAGAGACATTCGACTCAATTACTACCAGCCCTTTTCTCCCGATATAGGGGGGAGAGGGGAAGATAATTTAACGTACAATGTAGGTATGCCAGTTTGTGTTTAAGTCAAACCTTGGAACAACTTCTTGACATCTGACTGAGCTGAAATTTTCCATACTTTATGTTCTGTAATATTTTCGAAATGGCCGCTGTCACAAGATGGCGGATCTTGTATTTTTTTGAACCCTTTTAATATAGGCATCGAATGAAAGGGATTCAAGTGTAGAAAACGATAAAGTTAGTGACGTCGCACGCCATATTACGTTTTAAATTTTAATCATGCATATAGGAATTTTCAAATGTAAAATAGAAATTAAATATGAATATAAATTTATTACTTGTCTGTCAAAATATATTAAGTTCAAAAGTTTAGTTAGTATATTTTAAGACGCTTCTTAATAGAAGCGTCTTATTTATATTAATATATAACAAATACTATTTATTTAATAAACTTGTATACGTCTAGACAGTGTCAATGGTGGACTTAACACGTTGGCGTTATCTACTAGTCGACCGCAGATAGGAATAACAGAAAATATAATTGTCGCTGTAAAGCGACGTGCAAATACAAAAACATTAATTTAAAAATAATATACCTACATATAATACTCATATTATCTATATTTAATTAATTGTTATATTGTCTTATATGGGATACATATGGGATAATTTTTATTTCTATCAGTAAAAGAAATGGGGTCATGCGTAGATAAGTACGGCGCCGTCATTGCTCGGCGGCGCTTTACATACCTATCACTACATATCTATCACTGCATATTATAAAACAAAGTCCTCCGCTGCGTCTGACTGTCTGTCTGTTAGCGATCAACTCAAAAACTACTATACTACTATATTTTCATGCTGTTTTTATCAATGGATAGAGTGGGTCTCGAGAAAGGTTTTAGATCAGTGAACGCTCTAAATAGGCAACGTTCTTTATATTTTATTTACTCAGTTAAGTTAGTAAAAGAAATAAGTAAAAAAAAAGTAAAAAAAATTTCCAGACAGTAAATATTTTTATACTAATTTTTTTCCCTGTAAGCAACTTTTCCCAATAAGACTTTTTTTTATTGAAATTGGTTCAAATGAATTGCTTATATAGAGTGTTCACTGCATATAACTTTCTGACCCCCCCGAGTTGGGGGGAGGGGATCTAAAAATTTTGGTAGTGTATTAATGTAAATTAATATTATGTATAACGAGGAAAGATGATAAATTTTGTGTTTGTTACCATTTAATTCAAAACCTATTCAGCCAATTTTACCGAAAACTATATCTCCTCGGAGTAACATAGGCTATTTTATATTTTCGGTAAAGAACCCGCGCGAAACCGGGGCGGGTTGCTAGTAAATAATACAATTTGAATAATTTATCATGAATAGTATAGTATTCATGAGAAATAATTGAAACCATAGATTAAAAATAATATTATTACGGAACTATATTATTGTATATCTATATATATAAAAATTAATGCCACTTTTCGTTGTAATTTTATAACTCAAGAACGGGCTCAACTATCCAAACCAAATGTTTAGGCTTTGTTCGGACTATTTAGTAGATGGTTTATGTGAAGTTTGCACAAAATCGGTCGAGCGGTTCTTCATTTATCATATGTTTTGTAACAAACGAATTCAATAAATGGCGGATTATTTTTTTTTATGGGGATTTTTGTGTCAAATTCAAACTTGTTTTAAGATGGAGATGGTGCTGTCAAATTGAAACTTTTTTCAGTGTTGACAGTACAAGCATGTTGTTATGTTATTCATGCGGTCATTTCATTTTGAATGTGCTTCGATTAAAGCAAATTGTCAGCGATAATTATTGCTTTGTGTTTATATTTTTAAACATATTGTTGAGGGCATTTATCGTTATGTTACAATAACCACTTTTTAAAATGTAAAAATGTCCACCCGTGCGAAGCCGGGACGGGAGGCTAGTTATATATATTGTATGATGAATTAGTATGCTTCTATATACCATCCGATTTTTGAATAATAAAAATGATATTATATCACTACGGAATTGTGTTTTGCATTTTGTATACCTTTAATCGATTAGATATGTAATCGATTTATCTACAGATTTTATCTTTTTACTAATTAATTGAATTGGCCGTGTGCTGATCGATGGATAAAACAGTTCTTTTTTTATCGATTGATAAAAAAAAATGATTAAACAGTCGGCTGAAATTCTTAGTTTAGATAATTACAAAGCAAATGTAAATATTTTTAAGTACTTTTTTTTTTTATTTTTATTTTATTTTATACAAAAATTTATTATTTTATATATTATTTTATAAAAAAAAAACTTTAAAATTTTTACTGTCTGTCGTCATTTTATCTTCGGAGACAGAGGGGGGGGGGGTTCAGTGCCTTCAGCAGATGATAATGGGATGGCAACCCCGCCTGCACTAACAGTATACACTTGCGGGGCACCAGTGAGGGATGATTGGTGAGGATGAAAAGACAGGTCAGTTAGTCCATCGTGACGAATTCAACAATAAATTAGTCATGATGGTTTCCAGGGCGGACCGCGAGGTCGACCTGACTGGGTATATTGCTAGCATTGCTACTAATATTCGGCATTATCTGTTGCCCTGGGGGGGGGGGGTAGAAGGATCATGCTCTATCTACAATTGCCTTTTGTTGCAATACTGGTATTGCAATGCTAGGTTTTTTTTTATATACAACTTAGAATGGCAAACAAGCTGACGGTCCACCTGATGGAAAGTAGTAACTTTCGCCTATAGACATAAGCAGTACCATGGACATAACATAGTATATTGTTTTACCCATGATACCCCCCATGCGTTGCCATTCCTGAGGACTCAGGTGTTATTCCTCCGTACCCAGTAAATTCACGCCATATCCCACCCTTCAAACCGAAACACAGCCATGCAAACACAACTGCATTACGGTTGAAACACGAATGGGACAGAGGTACCAAAGCAATTGACTTTTGTACAAAGTCTTTCTCTGGTAAACCTCAGGACTCGAGGGAAGCTTCATAAAGACATCTCTGAGAGTACATGCACTGCTTAAGAAACCAGGCTCCCCTCCCCTCGCCCCCCATTGGAAAATAATTCTAAATACGCTAATGTTTACGCTTATCCATACAATATTGCTTCTTACGTCTTAATTTTATATCTTGTGGGAGATGATAGATGGGAATAAAAACACGTCAATTAGCTCATCGCGACGAATACCACAAGAATTAACTGCAATGGTTTTCTGAAGGAACCGCGTGGAGGTCGACCTGATAGGGTATATTGTAATGGTGATGTTATACCCTATTACTAAAAATTCTTCCCCGTTCCCTCCTCCCCAAAGATGATTTAAAAGTGCTGTAAAGAAGTCTATTCGAATAAAGATAATTTATAAAGTGCCTTTGATCAATTTCAGATGCAAACATTACGAATATTTTACTACATATTGATATTTATGTTCACATTAAGAAATAAAACAAACGCAGAGGAGCATCGAACGCAAAATAAGTCATGTACAATTGGATTTGGTATAGTTGACGACTGTGTTATAGATAACACGTTAAGTGATCACGTTTCCTCTCCAGATGTTAAGGTAAGTGATACATTTTATTTAATTTTACTAGAGGGAGACTTTGTATAAAAGTCGTTTGCTTGGGCACCTCTGTCCCATTCGTGTTTCAACCGTAAAGCAGTTATGTTTGCATGGCTGTGTTTCGGTTTGAAGGGTGGGATATGGCGTGAATTTACAGGGTACAGAGGAATAACACCTGAGTCTTTAGGAATGGGGGGTATCATGGGCGAAACAGTATACTCTGTTATGTCCATGGTACTGCTCATATCTATAGGCGACGGTTACCACTTTCCATCAGGTGGACTCTCAACTTGTTTACCATTCTAAGTTGTATAAAAATACTTTTACCATAATTTTATTATATTTTACAAATATTTATATTAATTAACTAGGTTTGCAATCAGTCAAATAACTATGCCGTCTGAGATCCGTGGTAAACACCACGAAGAAGAAGAAGAAGAAAGAAGAAGGGCCCCGTTATTTATTTAAAAAAGCTCGATGTAGTAATTTCTTTTTTGATATATCACTAAGTAGATATGCATACTTACCGACACTATACAATGAATGGTTTTTATACAACTTAGAATAGCAAACAAACTGACGGCCCACCTGATGGAAAGTGATAACCGTCGCCTATAGACATGAGCAGTACCATGGACATAACAGAGTATGCTGGTTCGCCTATGATACCCCCCATTCGTTGCTATTCCTGTGGAATCAGGTGTTATTCCTCTGTACCACGTAAATTCATTGCCATATCCCATCCTTCAAACCGAAGCACAGCCATGCAAATACAACTGCTTTACGATAGAAACACGAATGGGTAAGAGGTAGCCAAGCAAAAGTTTCCCTCTGGTGCGATAGCGGTAGAGTATAAAGCACTTGACGTGTGGTCTTCGCATAGAATAGACTACTTCTTCTTTTTCCGTGGGTGTCGCAAGAGACGACTAAGGGAGAGCGAGGGATGGGCAACAGCGTTCCTATTAAATCATTACCAAAGTCTAACTGCGGTTACCAATCTGCCTGTCAAGCGTGACAACTGTTAGCAAAACTCCTCAAGGGGGAGGCTTATGTTCAGCAGTGGACGGTTAAAGGCTGATATGGTGATGATGATGATGAAGATAAAGCACTTACATTCAAAAAGCAATTTTTAAATTTAATGAGATACAATGGCATCCGTCCCAATTCTGCATACTCTAGTTTAAATTTTATTATCTGTATATGTCACCGTAAGATTGTAAATACCGTTAGATTACAATCTATCTCGCGAGATTGTAAACTGTCGAAAGATTGTGAACCGTCGCATACTGCTTACAATTTGACGTATTATTTTTCGGTAGATTATAATCTATCGAAGTGAAACTGTTAAATCACAATCTGTCGCACGTTAAATTGTCAACTATCCGAAGGCTGTTCCTGATTGGTCGGTCTTACAGTAGGGCGCTATTTGTCCATAAAATTAGGAATGAAACAGAGGTGTTAAATGAAATAAATGCACTTCAAGAATTGACACAAGTATTTGTTTATTCATTAGTGAGGTAATCAATAATTGTGACATCATATTGTAAGAAAAACTTGTAACAAAATAAAATATTTTAACCTCAGATACAAATTAAAATATTGTAAAAATCAAAAACGTAACAAAATCTATTAGAAAATTAATAATAATAAAGGTAAATTGCACCAATAAAAATAATCACTTATTGTTGCACATCAAAAGCAGGGTACATGACGCTCAGCCAATCAGCGCACGAGATGCTTTCCGCCTTATATCATTTCACATTTTGACGGTTTCACTTCGATAGAATATAATCTACCGAAAAATAATACGTCAAATTGTAAGCAGTATGCGACGGTTCACAATCTTTCGACAGTTTACAATCTCGCGAGATAGATTGTAATCTAACGGTATTTACAATCTTACGGTGACATATATAAATTTACTAACATTTATTGTTTGTTTTCAAGCACAACGAACTAGGCTCCGAAGAATATTATTACATTATTGTGAAGAACGATGACTTGGATGATGCTGTTAGGAGCAACGTTTCTTCACATGATTTGTTGGACAGTGAGACAGACACTAATACAGGTATCTATCTATAGATAGATATAGAATATATATAATGGCTCAAAAAACGTAGTGTGGAGTTAGAACTCCACACTACGTTTCTTGAGCCATTAACTGTCCACTGTTGAATTTAGGACTTATTGATCTGGGGTTGCCAGTAGTTGCCACGCTTGGTAGGCGGATTGGCACCTGCAGTTAGGCTTCGGAGATGTTTTAAGAGGGACGCTGCTGCGCATCCCTCGCCTTCTCTTAGTCGCTTACGACACCAACGGGAAAGGAACGGGTGGCCTGTTCTATATCGGGACCATACAGCGGAGTTTTACATTATGTTCAATAAATGAATTAATACCATCAACAACTTAACTATTGGTTAAGTGATTATTATACAAAAAGAAAATACTCCTAGATTTTTTTATACAACTTAGAATGGCAAACAAGCTGACGGCCCACTTGATGGAAAGTGGTAACCGTCGCCTATAGACATGAACAGTAGTAAGTATTGCTTCTTTTCATTTAAGGCATGCAAGAGAACTCTTACACAGTTAAGCTAGTTTGTTGTAAATCATTGATCAAAATAATTTAAAATAATGCAATCTTTGTGTGTAATGAAGTATAAATAAATTAATATATACCTATTCGTAAATATATAAATTTGTCAACAAGTGGAGTTGACCAATTATATCTATTTTGTAAATTATATTTATCAAAAATCAATATAACAACCACGTTATCGGTATTAATTAGTATGCAAAATTAAGAGATATTTAAGTATTTTAAAATTTATCAAAAATGTACGTTTATTATTAAATTAGGTAGAAAGAATATACGATAATATTGAACATTATTCGGTACGACATTATAATTTTTTTTTATTTTTTTTATTTATTTATTTTTAGATAACTGAGATCCATTCTTGTTAGTAAGTGTACTTATGCTGGTCCCGGTATAGAGTGGTCACACCTTCTTTTCCCGTGGACATCGTAAGAGGCGACTAAGGAAACTTAATGGACGAGGGATGGGCAGTAGCATTAAACCTCTTAAAACATCATCAAAGTCTAACTATCGCCGCCAATCCGTAGCCAAGCGTGGCAACTAATGGCAAATCCCACCTTCCCAATAGAAGGAAGCCTATGTTTAGCAGTAAACAATTTATAGGTGATATAACGATCACATTAGGAAAACCTTAGTAATAACAATAAAAAATTGTATCCCAAAAACTAACTACAGATGAAACAAAATCAGTTATTTTCATTCAAAAACTAAACTATTTAAACAAATATTAATAAAATGTCTATAAAAACAGTATGTGACTATATCCTATCTAAAAAAAAAAACCCTAATAGGTTTATAACTGACGGAGTTATGAGGTAACAATTAACAGAAAAAAAATCAACTGAATTGATAAATTCTATCTTTATGATGTGCGTTGAATATAAATTATATGCACTTAAAACCTGCTAAAAGGAATGAAGGAAAACGAAAATTAGCCTAACGAATTCCTTATTGATTACAAAATTGTAATTTTTTTATTTTGCTTACTATTGCCGGTGGCGTAAATATAAAAAATGGACTAAACTGCACCCGCCAATGGGCATCAGTTTAAGTAGAACGTACAGAAATTTACGAAAACCATAATATTTTAAAAAGGAAAAAAAAATAGTAGGTAGATAAAAAAGAGGCAATATTCTTTGAAAAATTATTAGATTGATTGATAAACGAATATGAGTAAATATGTTTTAGTTAATTAGTTTTAAGCTTTATATCTCAATCATATTAAATATAAATATGTATAATCAATAATATAATACTGAATTAAAAATTTTAATTTGCAGGCAGCAGAGAATCTGTTGAAAGAATCGAAACTGATGAATTATACACTACTGAAATCCCTACTGAAACAGACGAACCAACAGACGAACCGACCACCGTCACCACTGAAGCCACTACCACCGTAGCTAGCTCTGAGGAAACTGACGAACCGACCACCGTCACCACTGAAGCCACTATCACCGAGGCTAGCTCTGAGGAAACAGACGAACCGACCACCGTTACCACTGAAGCCACTACCACCGAAGCTAGCTCTGAGGAAACAGACGATTCGACCACCGTCACCACTGAAGCCACTACCACCGTAGCTAGCTCTGAGGAAACTGACGAACCGACCACCGTCACCACTGAAGCCACTACCACCGAAGCTAGCTCTGACCGAACCGACCACCGTCACCACTGAAGCCACTACCACCGAAGCTAGCTCTGAGGAAACAGACGAAACGACCACCATCACCACTGAAGCCACTACCACCGAAGCCTAGGAAACTCACCACTGAAACCACTACCAATGAAGAAACTGACGAAACGACCACCGTCACCACTGAAGGCACTACCACCGAAGCTAGCTCTGAGGAAACTGACGAACCGACCACCGTCACCACTGAAGCCACTACCACCGAAGCTAGCGCTGAGGAAACCGAACGAACCGTCACCTCTGAGGAAACCGAACCGACCACCGTCACCACTGAAGCCACTACCACCGAAGCTAGCTCTGAGGAAACTCACCACTGACGAACCGACCACCGTCACCACTGAAGCCACTACCACCGAAGCTAGCTCTGAGGAAACTGACGAACCGACCACCGTCACCACTGAAGCCACTACCACCGAAGCTAGCTCTGAGGAAACAGACGAAACGACCACCGTCACCACTGAAGCCACTACCACCGAAGCTAGCTCTGAGGAAACAGACGAACTGACCACCGTCACCACTGAAACCACTACCAATGAAGCCACTACCACCGAAGTTAGCTCTGAGGAAACAGACGAAACGACCACCGTCACCACTGAAGGCACTACCACCGAAGCTAGCTCTGAGGAAACAGACGAACCGACCACCGTCACCACTGAAGCCACTACCACCGAAGCTAGCACAGACGAACCGACCACCGTCACCACTGAAGCCACTAAAGCTAGCTCTGAGGAAACAGACGAACCGACCACCGTCACCACTGAAGCCACTACCACCGAAGCTAGCTCTGAGGAAACTGACGAACCGACCACCGTCACCACTGAAGCCACTACCACTGAAGCTAGCTCTGAGGAAACAGACGAAACGACCACCGTCACCACTGAAGCCACTACCACCGAAGCTAGCTCTGAGGAAACAGACGAAACGACCACCGTCACCACTGAAGCCACTACCACTGAAGCCACTACCACCGAAGTTAGCTCTGAGGAAACAGACGAAACGACCACCGTCACCACTGAAGGCACTACCACCGAAGCTAGCTCTGAGGAAACTGACGAACCGACCACCGTCACCACTGAAGCCACTACCACCGCACTACCACCGAAGCTAGCTCTGAGGAAACCCACCGTCACCACTGAAGCCACTACCACCGAAGCGACCGAAACGACCACCGTCACCACTGAAGCCACTACCACCGAAGCTAGCGCTGAGGAAACAGACGAACCGACCACCGTCACCACTGAAGCCACTACCACCGAAGCTAGCTCTGAGGAAACTGACGAACCGACCACCGTCACCACTGAAGCCACTACCACCGAAGCTAGCTCTGAGGAAACAGACGAAACGACCACCATCACCACTGAAGCCACTACAACCGAAGCTAGCTCTGAGGAAACAGACGAACCGACCACCGTCACCACTGAAGCCACTACCACCGAAGCTAGCTCTGAGGAAACAGACGAAACGACCACCGTCACCACTGAAGCCACTACCACCGAAGCTAGCTCTGAGGAAACAGACGAACCGACCACCGTCACCACTGAAGCCACTACCACCGAAGCTCTGAGCAGACGAAACGACCACCGTCTGAGGAAACAGACGAAAACCGACCACCGTCACCACTGAAGCCACTACCACCGAAGCTAGCGCTGAGGAAACAGACGAACCGACCACCGTCACCACTGAAGCCACTACCACCGAAGCTAGCTCTGAGGAAACAGACGAAACGACCACCGTCACCACTGAAGCCACTACCACCGAAGATAGCTGAGGAAACAGACTAACCGACAACCGTCACCACTGAAGCCACTACCACCGAAGCTAGCGCTGAGGAAACAGACGAACCGACCACCGTCACCACTGAAGCCACTACCACCGAAGCTAGCTCTGAGGAAACAGACGAAACGACCACCGTCACCACTGAAGCCACTACCACCCACTACCACCGAAGCCACTAGCTCTGAGGAAACAGACGAAACGACCACCGTCACCACTGAAGCCACTACCACCGAAGTTAGCTCTGAGGAAACAGACGAAACGACCACCGTCACCACTGAAGCCACTACCACCGAAGCTAGCTCTGAGGAAACAGACGAAACGACCACCGTCACCACTGAAGCCACTACCACCGAAGCTAGCTCTGAGGAAACAGACGAACCGACCACCGTCACCACTGAAGCCACTACCACCGAAGCTAGCTCTGAGGAAACAGACGAAACGACCACCGTCACCACTGAAGCCACTACCACCGAAGCTAGCTCTGAGGAAACAGACGAAACGACCACCGTCACCACTGAAGCCACTACCACCGAAGCTAGCTCTGAGGAAACAGACGAAACGACCACCGTCACCACTGAAGCCACTACCACCGAAGCTAGCTCTGAGGAAACTGACGAACCGACCACCGTCACCACTGAAGCCACTACCACCGAAGCTAGCTCTGAGGAAAAACGACCACCGACGAACCGACCACCGTCACCACCGTCACCACTGAAGCCACTACCACCGAAGCTAGCTCTGAGGAAACAGACGAACCGACCACCGAGAAGAACCACCGAAGACGAAAACCGACCACCGTCACCACTGAAGCCACTAACACCGCTCTGAGGAAACTGACGAAACGACCACCGTCACCACTGAAGCCACTACCACCGAAGCTAGCTCTGAGGAAACTGACGAACCGACCACCGTCACCACTGAAGCCACTACCACCGAAGCTAGCTCTGAGGAAACAGACGAATCGACCACCGCCACCACTGAAGCCACTACCACCGAAGCTAGCTCTGAGGAAACAGACGAACCGACCACCGTCACCACTGAAGCCACTACCACCGAAGCTAGCTCTGAGGAAACAGACGAAACGACCACCGTCACCACTGAAGCCACTACCACCGAAGCTAGCTCTGAGGAAACTGACGAACCGACCACTGTCACCACTGAAGCCACTACCACCGAAGCTAGCTCTGAGGAAACCAATACTGAAACCACAGCGCCAATATCTACTACCCCAACTGTAACTATATTGCAAAAAATATTTGAATTTATCAAGTAGTATTTTTAAAATTATGTTCGTTCTTATTCTAATTCATTAGATTACACTATTTAAATAATAATCAAAATAATGCAATGGAAATTTCGTTTAATCAATATGTAAGTTAACGTGCTGCATAATAATAAATAATATACATGCATGGCATATATTCTTCGCATAGAGGATTTTCGAAAATATTCAAAGCGTCAGTTATGCAATTATTTCGCAATTTTTGTTACAGCCAGAGGACAAAATCGATCAGATTTTAGAGGACATCCATGAAATTCTACAAAACGGAACAGACCTTACCATCGATGATATTAGTGATGTATTTGAGCAGGTAATATATATACATATATATATATTCTTTATTGCACTAATTTATTTTACTAATACAACTAGTAAACTAAATTAGTATTTAATTTATTAACAAATAAGTTATTAACAATAAAGATTATGTTAATTTAATGTATAAAATGAACTGCAATTTTGACCTTGATTCTTGTGCCTACCTATATCAAATCACTATTGTGAATGTGTTAAAAAAGATCAATTAATAAATCTTAAATACGTTATAAATATTATATATTTCTATTTAATAATTTCATATACCATGCTTAGAGCCTTCTTAGCTTATAACGGAATGTCGAAGCATAAATCCTAACTTTCAGAAATGGCAATGCATATGGGGTACTATAACTGTCACAGTATACTCTGTTATAGTCACATGTCATATTCATGTCCAGGAAATAATTACCACCATAGATTAAGCATAGAATAGAATAGAACAGAAAATATTTATTGTCAGAAAAACACATAATTATAACAGTGAATAAAAAAATATTATATATTAAATTTTAATTAAGAAGCGTTTCATATTAGGCAAAAGGAACTGTTTTAGCTGATGCTGCGAGTGTTTCAGTGCAATGTGTACAGCTTCACAGCGCTAGTTTTCAGCCAATCATTCTCTTAACAAAACATAGTACCTTAGGTTACCACTTACAATAATGTGGGCTTTCAATATGTGGCAAACATACTGACATATGATAAAGATGCATAAAAAAAGTTAATTTGGAATTATTGAACTTTTTTACGAGCCTAACCAACCAGTAATTATTAGATTAGTATAAAACGTCATTATTATTAAGTATAATTGATTCTTTTTTTAAGGTGAATGATCTCTTAGACATAAATGACGACGTAACCTTCCCTGGCGAGCTACTAGACTTACTTGACACTTTGGGATCTAAAATCCAATTAAATGGTGAACCAAATGGTACTGTTATCGGAGAAAATTTAGCATTACTTATGGCAGACGCCTCATCTGATAATCCCGTTAAAGGACTGAGGCTAAAGGATGGGTCTAGTGGAACACGCAACTCATTCGTTAAGGATTCATTTGAATTTTTATCTGGTAAGTATTTTGGGTATTTTCTAGAGCTAATCATCATCATCATCATATCAGTCTTTAACTGTTCACTGCTGAATATAAGCCTCTCCCTTAGGCAGGTTTTGCCAGTAGTTGCTCGCTTGGCAGCTGGGTTGGCAACCGCAGTTAGGCTTTAATAATGTTTTGAGAGGGACGTTGCTGCCCATCTCTCCCTCTCAGAAGTTTCTTATAACACCTACGGGAAAGAAAAGAGTGATTAAACACGATTAATATAAATTCTTTTTCAGACGATGACAATTCTAATCATCTCGATGCTGATCTAAGCGAAGCTATAGTTTATTTACCAGACTCTGTAGCAAACTCTACGAGGCGAATCAGTTTTGTCGTGTTTCGAGATGGCCAAGCATTTGATCACAAGAATCCTCATGTCTTCGTCAACAGCAGAGTACTTAGTGTTAATGTGGAGAATTTGACACAGTTCGATCAGAATGAGGTAAAATATCTTTTGATGTATACACTATCCATCAAAACATGTAAAATTGTCATCAAAATTGAACCGATATATTGAACTCATTATGTAAATTTCGTTTTACAGGTGGTAACAATCCATTTGAAGCCTTCAAGGACCCCAGAACGAAGTATGAATCGATCTTGCGGTTATTGGATATTCCTAGACGAGAACACCGGATATTGGTCTCAAGAAGGCTGTACCTTTATCCAGTCAAGCAACTTAGCTCTTTTAGATACATGTAAATGCAATAGTCTTGGACGTTTTGCAGAAATATTCACTTTACGACCTACTTTTTCTAAGAGCAATGAGAACGCATTAAAAGCTATTTCTATAACTGGTAGTAGTCTATCTATTATTGGTGCTATTTTTATTGTACTCACAGCCATGTTGTTCAATTCTTGGAGGACTAATTTTGCTAATCAAATATGGTTACAGTTGAATATTGCATTATTTATATTATCAGTTTGCTTTTTAGTTGTTGTTTCTGTAAGGTACGTCGAATATAGTGTTTCATGTTTGCTCACTGGAATCGTTTTGCATTATTCTGTAGTGGCAACATTTTGTTGGATATTAGTGGCTGTTATAAAAGCATATAGAGATTCGGTTGTGCCCTTAAGTAGCCGCATCTCTCATAAAATGTCAATTGCATCTGGTTTTTCCTGGGGAACTCCTATAGTATTGATCGCTATATATCTGTTAGTAGCCAAGGAGCCATACGTAGGTCGTTTCGAAGATATGACACCTAGTGGAAGTTTCTGTTATCCATCCGGTATAGGACTATGGTTGTCAGTGTATACGCCCATGGCTATCGTACTGTTAGTTAATGTGATTTTATTCTTCTACATAGTTGGATTCGCATCCAGAAGTACACATATTCAGAACGTAGAACACGCTCATAAGGCCATTAGATATGCTCGCGTAGGCTTTGCTCTTGTAATTATTTTCGGTTTGGCCTGGATATTTGGACTTTTCGCTTACAATATTGTCGCGGCTTACATATTCACTATTACAGTAACTCTTAAATGTTTTATTTTATTCTTATTCATTGTATGTGGTGATAAAGAAACTAGAGAGCTTTGGCTTTGTAAATTGAATTTAAAACCAGGACCCACTCATCAATATTCTAGGCGGTTTACGCCACCGTATTAATAGTATGTAATATTTAGGATATTTTAAATTATTTGTTCATTTTATTTATTTTAGGAGTTGTTATGAGTATGGCATAGTATCTAACAATAGATTTTCCAAAACGAGGAGTATATAGATCTGTTGTTATCTATTATTGTTAGTATTTAAAGTATGTATTATTAGTAGTAATTATTGTAAATAATTCCACCCAGTATATTAAGTGTTACAAATATTGTTATTTTTTTAATTAAAGTGCTTTGTTATATCAATACCAGTGGATATTTTCTTTTTAAACCTAAAAGTTTCGAAGAGGTTTTATAAGGAACACAAGTTATTATATACAGGTTTGCTGATTTTTTATACTTATATAACAGAGGTTAATAACATAGTATAAAACAAAGTCGCTTCCCGTCTATTTGTCTCTATGTATGTAAAGTCGATTGCTTGGATACTTCTGTCCCATTCACATGTTATCAACCGTGTTAACATAAAGTGTGTTTGCATGGCTATGTTTCGGTTTGAAGAGTGGAATATGGCGTGATTTTATTGGGTACAGAGGAATAACACCTGAGTCCTCAGGAATGGCAACATCCATGTACAGTCCATGGTACTGCTCATGTCTATAGGCGACGGTTACCACTTTCCATCAGGTGGGCCGTCAGCTTGTTGGCCATTCTAAGTTGTATAAAAAAATAAAAAATAAAAAAAATCTTTAAAACAACGCAACAGATTTTGATGAGGTTTTTTTTAATAGATAGAGTGATTTAAGAGGAAGGTTTATATATATATAATACATGCATAGTATAATAGTGAAACACTGATAATTTTAGAGGTTTCTAATGTAATGTGAGGAAATGTTCATCAGACACTCGACAGTAGGCACTCAGATAGTCAGACACTCACGGACACTGACACTAGACACTCGATACTGACCTGTCACTGACACTCAGACACTCAGACACTCAGACACTCAGACACTCAGACACTTAGACACTCAGACACTAGACGCTAGACACTCGACACTAGACACTCAGACACTCAGACACTAGACACTAGACACTCAGACACTAGACACTCAGACAACTAGACACTAGACACTAGACACTCGACACTAGACACTAGACACTAGACAATCAGACACTCAGACACTCAGACACTCAGACACTAGACACTAGACACTGACACTCAGACACTGACACGGTGACACTCAGACACCGGTGACACCGGTGACCGGTGTCCTCTGACCGGACACTAGACACTGTCCACACTAGACACTCGACTACTAGACTACTGACACGAGTGACACTAGACACTGACACTGACACTAGACACTCGACACTGACACTAGACACTAGACACTAGACACTCAGACACTCTAGACACTGTGTGTCTAGACACTGAGACACTAGACACTGACACTCTAGACACTGAGACACTCGTGACACTAGACACTAGACACTAGACTGAGACACTAGACACTAGACACTCGACACTAGTCGACACTCGAGACACTAGACACTCGACACTCGACACTCGAGTGTCGACTCGACACTAGACACTGACGACACTAGACACTGACACTCGACACTAGACACTCAGACACTAGACACTCGACACTAGACACTCGACACTCAGACACTCGACACTAGACACTCGACACTCAGACACTCGACACTCGACACTCGACACTCGACACTAGACACTAGATACTAGACACTAGACACTAGACACTAGACACTCAGACACTCGACACTCGACACTCGACACTAGACACACGACACTAGACACTCAGACACGAGACACTCGACACTAGACACTAGACACTAGACACTCAGACACTAGAAACTCAGACACTCATACACTAGACACTAGACACTCAGACACTGACACTAGACACTGACACTAGACACTAGACACTCGATACTCGAAACTCGAAACTCGACACTAGACACTAGACACTCAGACACTAGATACTAGACACTCGACACTAGACATTAGACACTCGACACTCGACACTCAGACACTAGACACTAGACACTAGACACTCGACACTAGACACTCAGACACTCTGACACTCAGACACTCAGACACTCAGACACTCAGACACTAGACACTAGACTCTCAGACACTAGACACTCAGACACTAGACACTAGACACTGAGACACTAGACAATCAGACACTAGACACTAGACACTCATACACTAGACACTAGACACTCAGACATTAGACACTAGACACTCAGACACTAGACACTAGACACACTCAGACACTAGACACTAGACACTAGAACAGACAGATAGATAGACACATGACACTGACACTGACACTGACACTAGACACTCAGACACTAAAAACATGTTTAGACACTAGACACTAGACACTCAGATATTATTCCAGACATTCGTAGCACTAGACACTAGACGTAGTCACTCAACCATTCAATCAGTCAGACACTAGACACTAGACATCTAGACACTATCACTAGACATCTAGACACTGTCTCATCTGTCTGTCTATCTAGACACTGACTATCTAGACACTCAGACACTAGACATTATACACTAGACACTAGACATTCACTCTAGACAGAGATACTAGACATGACACTAGACATTAAACATCATTCTTTTTTTTTTACTCAGATACTACATAGACACTAGACACTAGACACTCAGACACTAGACACTCGACACTCAACACTCGACACTCAGACACTCGACACTCAGACACTCGACACTCGACACTCGACACTAAGACACTAGACACTAGACACTAGACATAGACACTAAAGACACTAGACATAATGACACTTGGACACTAGACATTTTAACTGACACTTACACTACACTAGACACTAGACAATGACACTAGACATACATTAGACACTGACTTTTTGACATATATAGACACTTACACTGTTAGACATTCACTCTTACTAGAATAAACAAAATAGACTTATTCAGTTACACGGTAGACACTAGACACTCAGACACAACAGATAATGCTGACATTCAGACACTAGACTAACAACATGTGACACTAGACATTACATGGTGACACTTCAGACTATACATAGACACTCAGACATCAGACACTAGACAGACACTAGACATTAGACACTGGACTAGACACTAGACACTCAGACACTAGACACTAGACACTGAACACTAGACACTAGACACTAGACACTCAGACACTAGACACTCAGACACTAGACACTCAGACACTAGACACTCGACACTAGACACTCAGACACTCAGACACTAGACACTAGACACTAGACACTCGACACTAGACACTCGACACTAGACACTCGACACTAGACACTCGACACTCGACACTCGACACTCGACACTAGACACTAGACATTAGACACTCAGACACTCAGACACTCAGACTCTTGAATTGAATTTGAGTGAATTGCCGATATACTGTGTCATTTAATTAATCTTTCCATTAACCAGGGAGGCTTCCCAGAAAATCTTAAATTATCAATTGTGAAGCCTCTTTATATGAAAAACGACAGATAGGTAATAGACAGATAGGCAGACAGATTGACTGACTGATTGATCGACTGATTGATCGACTGATTGACTGATTAATCAATGGATTGATAGATAGACTGACCTGAGGACTGATTGACTGATTGATTGATCTATCTGAGATAGTCAGTAAATCAGTCGATCAATCAGTCAGTTAATCAGTCTGCCTATCTGTCTATTACCTATCTGTCGTTTTTCTTATAAAGAGGCTTCACAATTGATAATTTAAGATTTTCTGGGAAGACTCCCTGGTTAATGGAAATGAGTGTCTGAGTGTCTAGTGTCTAGTGTCTAGTTTCTAGTGTCTAGTATCTGAGTGTCTAGTGTTTGAGTGTCTAGTGTCAGGTGTCTGAATGTCTAGTGTCTGAGTGTCTAGTGTCTGAGTGTCTAGTGTCCGAGTGTCTAGTCTCTGAGTGTCTAGTGTCCGAGTGTTTAGTGTCTAGTGTCTGAGTGTCTAGTATCTCAGTGTATAGTGTCTGGATGTCTGGCACTGGATACTGACCAGAAAAAGGCTGTACCTTCATTCGCTCTAATAATCCAGAAATTTTGGATACATGCCAATGCAACCATCTTACACATTTTGCTGAAATTTTGATTTACAAACCTGTTTTCGCGGAGAAAAATGAGATGCTATTAGAAAAAATATCTATAATAGGCTCTCTCTGTCTTAGGTGCTGCTGATATTATCACTACGTCTGTTTTGTTCAGATCCTGGAGATTAAATTTTTGTAATTAAATAGGTCTGCAGCTTATAATAATATAGACCTATAACTTGCCTACAAACACTATACAAAATACTTACTGCCTGCATAGCTGAATTAATATATCAACATGTTGACACTAATAATATTTTGAACGAAGAACAAAAAGGATGCCGGAAATTTTCTCAAGGATGTAAGGAGCAATTAATTATAGATTCAGTAATACTAAAACAAGTTCATAAAGCTAAATCAAACTTACACACTATGTATATTGATTATAAAAAGGCATATGACTCAATACCTCACACTTGGTTAGTACAAATCTTAGAAATGTATAAAATTCATCCAAAAATAACAACTTTCTTGAAAACAGCAATGGCAAACTGGACAACACAATTACAACTTAAAACTCTCACAGCTACAATACAAACTATACCGATCAAAATACAACGAGGCATATTCCAAGGAGACGCCCTCAGCCCACTCTGGTTCTGTTTGGCTCTAAATCCTCTCTCAAATATGCTTAACTCTTCTTCAGTAGGATACCCTTTAAACTATAAAGAAACTGATGATCAGTCTTCAAATATGAATAAAAATGTATTAAACCATTTATTGTATATGGATGATATAAAATTATATGCCGAAACCGAAAACCAACTGAACCAATTAACGAAAATAGTAGAACAATTTACAAATGACATAAAAATGGAGTTTGGATTAGAGAAATGTAAAATAAATTCCATTAGGGCAGGAAGTCAACACCCATATAACTACACATTAGAATCAGGAGAACAAATAACATCACTTAGCGAACAAGAAGTATATAAATATTTAGGTTACAACCAAGCACTTTTTATAAACCATAAAGAAATAAAACTAAAACTACAGCAACAATTCCGACACAGACTGAATGCGGTATTAAAAACCCAACTTAATTCCAGAAATATGATTAAAGCGATAAACACCTATGCTATACCCATACTGACTTATTCTTTCGGCATAATAAACTGGACCAAATCAGACCTAA